TCTGGATGAGCATTCACTGAGGAATTCTGTTTGCTTCACCGAATGTCATGAACCTCTAAACAGGGGACCCCAATGCAGGGTACCCCAAAATGGAAAACCTTATTTTGCATCTGGGGTTAGTGACTAAATAGCTATTATGCCTCTGACAGCTATCTGTTAGGGCTCTATTATATATCTAATAAGAGAAAACAAGAACAGCAATTTTGGGCCACGCTAATCGACCTCTAATTAAAAGGCGATTAAGGTCAGCCAATTGGCTAAGGCCTTAATAAGCCCTTAGCCCTCCTGGAAGAGGGAAATTTGGACTTTCACTAAAATGTGCCTAATAAGCCCTTGGACTGTCTGAATGATGGAGGTTTTGCCTTTACAGAGTGATCTGGTAGGGATTTGTCTAATTGAGGCCTATTTAGCCTTTGGGCTGACTCCTGGGTCAATCTCAATGCGAGTCCTCAAAAGCGTCAGATCCAGGCGTCATAATGCGAAAACAATAAAGTCCGCTGATTGCACTGAAAGGTTCCCGGGGCAGCACCATCAGTTTTACTGCGCTCATGACCTTGGTTGTTGAGCCATGAATCCCTTTTTAGGACCAGTGGCGCATTTCGCTAGCTGGACAACTTGCTCGGTTGTTGAGCCATCAATCCCATTTTTGGATCAGTGGCACAGTTCGCTGGCTGAAAAACTTGTTCTGGTGTTCCTACAAAAGTGTAGGTTCTGAACAAGGACCTCGGCTTTTCTGGGTCAATTGGTCAAAACCTCGACTCTCCAGCCAAGCCCCGGGTTTTCGGGCCTTGTGAGGAAATGTTGATGAGTTTTCTATGTCCCACCAAGATGTTCCCTTATCACCCCAACAACATTGTGTCTTTCATATGCTCATGATGCGGACAGCAAACCCGTAGAGAACCCATCAAACCCTGGGTCTTCCCAGAAAATGTGGGACCTACGTTTTGATAGGTGTTTGTTTCTTCAGGCTGTACCATACTTACAGCAAGCTCTGCGAACGCCGAACGCTTTGATGTCAACCATCAACTACTTTTGTGTGACGTTCCAGCAATGTCACCAGGCTCCACATTTGTGGAAGATTTCTCTATCAGCTCACTTCAGATTGCTCTTGCAGAAGTCTTTGACCATCTGTCTTGTAGGCCTCAAATCCCGCCAAGAAAGAGCTGATCCAACACATGTAAAAGACACATTAAAAGGAACAACCATGCTGCAAAAAGCACGATGTCTACCAGGAGGCCCTAATAAGGTGCTACTAGCAGCCTGGTAGGCTCCTAAGAAGGCTATATTTGAGCGCTGTAATTTGGGCGAGTCACATATCGAATGTCTGGCTTGGGTTCCTCCGATTCCAGATGTCATAGCACCATTGAAGAACTGCATATAGAGCATCATCTTGATTCGGGCAACGCTGAGTTGGGTATTTCCGTGTGCAAGATTGATGAGTTGTAGGTTCGTCATCTCCTGCAAGCAAACATCACCCTTCCAACCCAACACATATTTAACTAATTCAAAGAATCACACACCAACACACGGCGACCGAGTCCAAACTTGACATCCCCTTCCAAAAGGATTATATAATTTGATAAACTTACTGTAGCGACACAGCACAGGAAGGACAGGGGAAGAAGAGTAAGAAGCCCTCACACAGCCCATAACCCTTCCAAGTGCAGAACAGCAGCTTGGATATTTAACTCTGAAGTAGAACAAGATCGGGTGGTACTCAATTGTGAACTCGTGCTCGATGCAGCCAGATCCCGGGAGCAAGTCCTTCAATTCTTTCGGTGTCAGCCCCCACAGTCGACTTTGAGCCTGCTTTCTCCTAAGTTTGGCAGGCACTTAGAATCCATAACAAGCCCCTAATAAGCCCCTAATAGAGCCTAAACAGGGTGCAAAAAGCCTAAACCCCTAATAGAGTTTTTAGGGTGCAAAAAAACAACACCAGTTCCAGGCAGTGAGAGAAAGTTGAATTCTGACACTGGAAGTGAGACCCTGCAACTGCAAAATCACTACCCTGCCACAACTCCAGCTTTAAAATTAATTGATGATACCTCAAAGGATCTCTTTTTTGGTTTCAGAGTCCACTTTCTTTTTCATCTCTGTGAGCTCGGGTGGAGCAGGCGGTGGTTCATCTGGGTTAGGCTTCTGTTGAGGTCCAGGCCGGCGCTCTGTTGCTTCTTGCCGTCCTTCAGCACGGATGAGGTTGTCGAGCTCCTCACGAGCAACTTTTTTTCATTTTGAGGAAGTCTTTGTCCTGTGCATTCTCTGGATCCAACTCTTTGAGGATTGATAGTATCGTCGGGTCCTTCAAGCGCACCTTGCCCATAATTCCTGAGAGCATCTCTTCCTTCTTGGGTGCTGATTCGTTGGCCCAAAAATGCTCTATCAAGCTCCTTGCAACGTCAACCTTTACCAAATTGCCCCCGGCTCCAGAGCCAGCGCCCTTAGCCGGCACCTTGCAATTACAAATGCGGACGATCTGCCAGCATTGGGCCACAGTCAAGAAGGCTCCCGCATAGATCGCCGCCGGAATCAAGCCCATGGTTCCAGTGACTTCGTGGGCGAAGGAAGTCAGAGATTGAAGCTCCTGGGGCAGGCAACTGGGCGGGAGTATCCTGGTGGTCACAGCCTTCCAGTTGCAGACTTGATCATCCAGTGTGTAATTGAAGAGGAACTCCGGAGCAGGCAGCTCCTCAGACTCTTTGAAAGAATCCAATTTGAAGCCCAGGATGTACTCCTCAATTCTGAATTTGGCAAACCAAAGGCACCAAACCGCCATTCTGTTCCCAAGACGAGCACACCTTTAAAAAATGCACTAAGAAGCAACTGTTAGGCGTTTCATCGTTGGCAGAGTGGGTTGAAACTTATGGACGGACGCATTTGAACGCTTGTCCTTCTCTCCGACCACCTTCCTGTCCAACAGCATGCCCAAAGCACACCACCGTTTGAAACCAAGTGAGAGAACAAAGAGGTGCTGCTTCGTTCTGTGCCGGAAGATTGAGCCAGCTTGGAACAGAAAACCTGGAGCAGGGAACTCCACGGCAGGATTGAACAGCGGCCTTACACTTGTCAAAACACACGTTCTATAAGGGAAACCTGGATTGGAAACTTGGGATCGGAGTGTACGGCCTAGTTCTGCTTGACGTGCATTCGAAAAGTTGTTCTCGTAGTCCGCCAGAATAAAGGCCAAAGCTGCTGCTGATCTGTGGTTCGCTTGATACCCGGCATTCCGCACCTTCTGGGAGAGAATGTCCGCGGGACAGCCCGGGATTTCGCATCCAGGGACATCCTCCTGCAAACACACGGCGGGTGTTAAACCAAAAAGCCAGTCACTCCCTCTGCACAGTAGCACCCTGCTATAAGCACCAGGCTCCCTCAAGGCTCAAGAGAAGTACGGAAGCGTACCCGCAAAATAGACGCTTTTCCTGAAGTTCTAAACAGCTAAACGGGAACCCAATGCTCAAAAAGCTCATTAACAGCCCAATTAAGCACCAATTAAGCCCCAATTAAGCCCCAATTAAGCCCCAGGTAAGCACCAATTAAGCATAATAAGCTGGAAATGGGCAATTTCAGTGGTAGCGGAGCACTATTCCCGGAAGACTCAGGTGAGCGTTCTTTCTACTCTAGATTGGGTAATGGACTGGAACATTACATTTAGATAGCGCTTTCATCACCTCATTTATTGCTGCGAGCACTGAAACGGCAACCCTGAGCCTCGCCCTGATCGTAACTTTCCAGCCCTGAAACATTAGAAGTGCTAGGCTCTGGATTTTTGGCACCTTACAGCTTTTGACTGTGAAGGCAGGCCTTGATCGCAACTTTAAGCCCGCAAGGAAGACCGAAAAATGTATTCTTGGTTTGGCCGCTTCTTTGGCTTGCTTTTGCGTTGATAAGGATGCATTTCTAGCTTATTATGTGCTTAATTGGTTCTTAATTGATGCTTACTTTGTGCCTATAAAGTGTCAATATTCACATATTCTGTGCTTTTTGATGTTTAATGAAGCTTTTTTAGCATCGGGTCCCCGTTTAGCTGTTTAGAACTTCAGGAAAACCATGTGACTGGATTCCAGAGCCCAAATCAGGGTGATACCTGAAAACCGAAACAGGTATTCTTGGCTTTGGCCGTTTCTTTTTTTTGGCTTGGTTGTGCATTGATAAGGTGCGCATTCGCGCGCATCAAGAGTCTTTAGTTTCTTGGGCATCAACGAGTCATTCTGACTCATAGACATGTAAGCTACCCCATGATGGAAAGCAACCACAATTACTTTTCGTTTTGCTTCTGGTGGGTCGCTGGAACATTTACTCAAGGTTGACTGAAAAATGGTCACCGAATTCAACACAACCCACCAAATGTGCTTATTATGTGCTTAATAGGTGCTTCCTTTGTGCTTAATATGTGCCTAACTTGTCCTGTTTTAGACACTCTGCATGTTTGATTAAACAAATATGAACACATGCGCTGAATATGCGCTTTAAACATTGTCTTCTAGCCCCACTTGGCTCGAGAATCAATGTCTACATTACAACTCCAAGATTACTGCATATGGATTGTTTTTTGAAGCCCAAACGCCTTGTCCAATTGAGGCAACCGCACATGTGTGATATTTTGCAGAGAGTTGAACTCCTGAGCTGCTTCAGCTGTGACTTTGTGTTTCATCCAATCAGAAGCCTCTGGCCAAATCTGTGGGCACGACTTCCGGCTGTGGGGGCAAGAGCAAGCATAAAAATGCTTTGCAAAGAAGCTCATCTTCTTGTTCTTATTGTGCCTGGAAGAAATATCCTTGAGCCATGCAAACGCGGACTCCAACACTTCCTTTGTGCTGGCTGAACCAGTCTTCAGGCGAAAGAGCAGCTGCTGAAGCTGTCTACAGTCTGGGTTCCACCCAGATTGAACAGCCATTGCCATGATTTCTAAAGGCAACACTTCAGTGTGCCAGCCCAAGTCTTCCAGGAGCTGGTCCAAGGTTCGCGTGGACTTTGAAACAGAATGCAAATGGACAACCTTAGATCATGGAGTTTCCTGCTAACATAAGTCCTGGTGGATGCTTAGTATGGGCGGTGAAGCTTGAAATTACAGTCAGTTTGTTGGCTGGCAAGTCACAGCATCGATGATCCGCTTCAAGAATTGCATTGCCTCCTTACGTTTTCCCGGGTCACGAGCCAGGAGAGGCACAGCAGCCCCTGGCAGCGCAAAGCGGTGAATCATCATTCGCCATACCAAATTTGATGCCAAACATGCAGAATAGCGGAATGCGATCTCCAGTAGCTCCACTTCTTCCTTGCTGCGCAGGTATAGGGTTCAAACGGGAACAATGCTGGACAGCCATTTTATCTGAAGAAAATGAGGACCACGACAAGGGAAGGACAGTGGAACCGGTTAATATCCACCCATTAAGGACTTGTTAGTGGGAGTTCAGGTGTTCTGCAGACAAATCTCCACCATCCAAGCCTTCAAAGGATCAAACTGCAGCTCAGGATTGCAATGCGGCACAATCCCCAGCTGTAAAGCCAGATCAGGTGACTGCGCTTTGGCCAACATGTCAATTGCAGTCAGATACCAAGCTCCAGATGACCTTGCCACTGCCCATCGGATCATGTCTTCTAGCCCTGATGCTTGCGCTTTCAAATCCTTGTCGTAGAGGTCCTCCAAAGGCTGCGCGCACTGCACAATGATGATCGCATGCTTGCGAAGAGACAGGTCGAAAAGAAACTCGGCCACCATCTTCGTCGGTCCTTTCCCTGCGTAAGCTTTGTATAGCTGGCTTTTCGTGAACTTGGGTTGCTGGGGCGGTGCGGGTGCCTCAGCAGGACCCTCCTCAGGATGAGCTTCTGGATCATCGACCTCTTCTTGGCCCCAAAGCTCATCGACCTCTTCTTGCACAACAATCATGCGCATCAAAGCGCTTGTGACAAAGGAATCTTGGGGTTGTATCCCTGGACCATTTTACCAAAGTTGGCTGAAACATGGCCACCAAATTCAAAACGATCCACCATATGTGCTTGACAGGTGCTTAATAGGTGCTTAATAGGTGCTCAATATACACCACACACGATAAGCCAAGACACTGATTCTCCACCCATCTCCAACATAGCCACTGCAGCAGCAGAAAATACAGCCCAATTTTTGACCAATCGCCGTAGGCTCGCATTGAGCCCAAACCATGCTTTCATTTTTACCTCAGGATTGCTTGCTGAAGCTGAACATCTACCATAGAACGCAGTTGGAAGTTCCAGGACCTAAATGAGGCCTTGAGAGCATTCTACTCAATCTCTTGCAGGCAATTTCAAAAGGGCAGTTGCAAAACGTTGGTGAGTTGGACAGGGCTCAAAAGGAGTAACAGGGTTGGTGGGTTGGACAGTTTGCTAAAAGAAGATAGGCAGGCAGCAAATCGACCCTTCGCTCGCATCACATCTTCCTGCATGATCTCGTCCAAAGAAAGCAGAGGAGACTCTTGCTGGCATTCACATCCTTGCTCTTCAGCGATCTCCGATTGAAAATTGAGCCACCAATCACTATCCTTGAGCTTCAAAAATTCAGCCAGGGATTCTTTCATGCGGACAAACTTATCTCCTGGCAGGCGTGCTCCAAAGATCGCTCTTGCAGAAATGGGCAGAGTGATGAGAACTGACAATATTATTAACAAGAAACTCGGGACCCCTACTGTTGACTGTTTGCCTTCCACGAATACACTAGTTTAAAACACCCTGCCTGACAGGAAGGCTCCATGGCTGTAGTTTGCGCAAATGGACAACTTAAGCATGCTGGTCCACAGGTCTGACCCATTTGGAATTGTTGTTTTGAGTCCTGCCTTCATTGTATTCCATAAGGAGTGACTGCTGTCCCCCTCTAGATCACCTCTGACTTTCACGATTCCGAACAGGTACCGCCAGGCCCGTGTCCGGGATGTTTCCTCGTCTTCCACCTGGACTGCACTCCAAACTTGAATTATAAGGCTTCAGGTGCCGCTAACAGAATTTATTTGGGGATTACAGCACAAACAAATGAGACAAGCGCCGCTTTGAAAGTTAAACTCATTACATAATTTAATATGGGATCCAACGCGCTTATATTGCTGGCAGGGCTCGACACGGATGAGGTTTCGCAAGTGGACTGGGGGCATACGCACTGATGCCAATGTGGACAGTGTAGGACACTGCTCATGTCGGGGAATGTAGTCAGTGATGTTCTTGTTCAGCATGATCTTGAGAGTGTGATGAGCGATCTTCATCACATTCTTAGTGTTGCAAGGAAAGGGCAGGTTTCAGTTCTAGGCAGCAGCAAGGTCGGATGCAAAGGGTATCCCAAAAGGAATCCTTTGTGGGTGGATTTACTCAGTTCCGCCCGAAATCATTCGGCCAACTTCAGTGCAGCCAAAAAACAAAAAATGCTTTGCTTTCTTTCTTGGAGACCTTTGGCCTTCGCAGCAAAAGTGTCAGAGAATCCTGGCCTACCACAATACCTAAGAATGAAAGTTGGTCCCCAAAGATTCCACCAGCTGCTGTTAGTAGCGCCCTCATAGCCTGCTAATATGGCCCTAGCAAACATGGATAATGATTTAGGTGGTGCAGTTCACAAAGGTTTGAACTTGAATTTCCTGAAATTCCCGCCTGAGGACCGATGTTCCGTCCAAAGACTCCTGGACGATTGTTGGAATGGCCTCAATCAAGCGTGCTTTTTCGGTCATTGTTTGGTGTAGAAATCAATCAAGTACTGTAATCACAGTGATGTTTGTAAGGTCGTTGGTTGAACATTGCTCACTACCAAAATCAGCCCGAGTTGCATACACCGGCGCATAAGCACCCTTGCGAAGTTCCGGAGACCACACAAAGACGAGCTCGCATGGAGATCCTCCAACACTGCTTCCGTCCATGTAGAAATGGATCGCCCTTGTTTGACGGAGTTTCTCTTTGGCCACAAAGTAGTACACAAATTGGGCAGCCCAGGCAACCTTATCGACCACATGCGATATCTCCTCGGCGCTGTATCTATTGATGCCAAGCACTTTAGATCCAGCCCGATGCAAGAACATTTCCTGGCAGGTGCAGCAGAAAACTGTTGGGCAAAGATAAATAGTATCCTATTAAGCCCTTACTAAGCCTCTAACAAGGTTCTCTTGGCTAGGGCAGCTGGGCCAATTTAGCGGATCCACATGACACAACCTCTTTTTTTACCAGTGAGGGGGAATTGATATTTTCAATAACAGTTTTTAGCTGGAATCGCCTCTCCATGCCAAACCTCCTCTGCTATTGCGCACTTTGTTTGCAGACTCAGAGATGGGGGAAGCCGCTTCCTGCGGAATATCTGGTAGTCTTCTGCTTCGGAGCCCATCATTGGCACGCACTCATCCAAACAGTAGGCCAATTGGGTCAAGCAGGACATGCAATTCGGCAGGAGAGCCCTTTTCAGTTGTTGCGAAAGCTGCTTGTCCGAAGCAAAGCAAATCCACTGGTGCAGCTGCATGCTCTCAAAGTCGTTGTTGAGCCAAGGCTTCTCCTCTCGCTCCAGAAACTTATTCCATGCCTGCGCTGTTGTGAAATTTGTGGAATTTTGGCAGTAAGTAGAAATGAACGAATTAAACAGACAAATAGAAAAGACAATTACGGTATATGTATTGTATATGTTTGTATGTATTATATAATATGTGTTCAACCTAAGAAACCCTCCTTTGTGTGCCAGGAACAAAGAATCTCCTGGCCTGGTTTGCTGCTTTATAGGTCCAATCATCAAAACAAATTTGGCGAACTGGTAGAGCCAGCGAAGAGTCAACTGTAATTTCCTTCCAACCATCTGGACTCTTGATATATAAAGTGATCTCTGCGACTGTAGATATCATTTTTTGGAGGAGGTCCCTGAAAGCCAGCACAGCCGCACTCCTCTCCGCAACTTGCCGCTTTGCATGGCTAATTGTCCACCATATATACGCGACCAGCATCGAAGTGGGAATGGTGTGTTGGACAAAAAATGTGGATTGATCCGCAGGAGCGCTTCTCCGTGACTGCCGAGGCACTCTCACCTTGAGTGGAACACCGGGCCAAAGATCATTGAATAAGTTGACTACCGAATCGAATTGCTGTCCCCAGTTCTTTTTTTGCCTTCACTGGATTCTTGGTCCTCATGAAGAGACTGGCTGCATGGACAGTGATCCACTCTGCTTGACAGTTTGCCCCATCCTTAGCACAGCAATGTCATAATGCCTAGGGTGAACAAGCCTATAGGGTGGGGTCAGCAATGATGTGCGGTGCGTGTGTTGATGATTTCCTCTTATTTGTCTCCTATTTGGCTCCTATTTGTTTTCTATTTGTCCCTTATTTGTCCCTTATGTGAGTGTGTCTTGTTTGTCCTTTGAACGGATGAACAGATACAGGATATGTAATATATATATATATGTGGTTTCAAGGGTTGCTGTATTCTGTATCCGTTTAACACAACAAACGCCAATGTGACTATTGTTGTCTCAAAGTCTAAGCCCTTTGAAGTGTTCCCGTACAGCGGAGCGTCTGAAGGCAAATAGCAGATCAATGGCTGGTCACTGACTCTGACCAATATGGCTTTGTGAAACTCAGCTGTGTCAGTGGCTGCATCAGCGTCATATGTGAAATTTGGCTCAGCCTCAGAGTCAACCTGGACGATAGCAATGCGAGGGCTGTGTTCTGATTCCTGCGACTCCTCCATGCCACCATCACTTGGCCTTTGCTACTGTCTTTATTTAAAGCCTTCGGTCCTTTTGAACGGCCTATGTCATCATTTTTCTGCTGAGCAGTCTTCAATGAAAGTTTGGAAGTGTGGATTCTATTATGTTTGACGCTTACTAAAAAATATGTTGTCATCTTGGACTAGTAGAGCCACCAACGCTGTTGAAGTACAGAGACCTGGGGTGAAAAGCAGGCAGCTTTCTGTTCATGAAAAAGGCCAGCGCCGCCCAAGTTGGACTAAAATGAAATCAATTCAAAGGTCATCGAACTTCCCTAAGACTCCCAGTGGCTTATTAAGGGCATAATAGAAGCTTATTAGGGGCTGACTAAGGGCATATAGATTCACGAAGCAGGTTCCATTAACATTTGAAGGTAGTTGTGGATGTTCCCAGGTCGACCACTCTACAGGTCAGCGTTAGCATTTCGATTCTCAATGCGGCAAGGCTTTTGGTGAATCTGTTTCTTCTCAGTCTCAGCGTTTGGGTTGTCTGAAGCACAACTAGACTCAAGAATCCAAAAAAGGAGTGGCTACTGCTTGTAGGAAAATGCAAAAACAAGTGACTGTTTCCAATAGTAGTGCATTGGGCAGCACGCTAAAAGTAAAAAGCTTAAAAGCACTCTAGCTAATTTAAAACGGCAGTGGCCACAAGACATACTGATTCAAGTGAAACATGCCGCTGGCTGATTGTTTGCCCTGCCAAGCAAATAGTAAGGGGGGTCTTGAGTTGAGTTAGTTTGATCATTGTTTAAATTTAGCATAGGCAAACAACCCTCGACGCTTGGGCTCATGCTCGGGCCATGGTTTTTCATCGTTGATAGCCAGCAATTCGTCCAGGCTAGGCCTAAGCTCCTGGCAAGCCAATGCAAAAATCATCAAACATCTAAATCTGGCGCGCAAGGATCTGAGCTGTACCCAGAATCCCGAAACCCAAACAGAGGTTGTCAGAGAAATTCAATAAGACCTTTGCAACAGGATGCATCATAATATAATATAATATGTTGTCTATTTTCAGGAACTGGATGCTCCTAAGTCATTGATGGCGCCTCAGCATCAGAGGCTTGCTGTAGAGACTTGGGCGCCTCTGCTTCTCTGCTCTCTGGTAATGCTGCGGCATGCGGATCCATGGGCGCAAAAACCACAGGCATGTAGCCGTCGTCAATCGGTGCTTGCTCACGAACTGCATTCCTCATTGCAGCTTCAGGCTTCCCAAAGCATCCCGACATTGCTGAAACTCTGGCTTCATGGAACGCTAATATGGCATTACTACAGCGATAATAGGCACGTAACAGGGTCTTAATTGCTGAATCAGGATTAAAGCAAGAACAGTGCTCTTCTAGACACATCAGAGAGGTGGACAAACCAGCAAGCTGGGAAGTGGGGAACAAGACAAGCAAACATTGGGAAAACAAGATGCCGCACGGTCTAGCTTGATCCAAGGCTCGAAATCGCCACAGCCTTGTGGTTCGTGTGGTGGAGA